GGTGAGAGACAGTGTCAAAGGCCTTCTTAAAGTCTAGATAGACTATGTCCACAGTGACACCATCATCTAAGGATTTAGTTACTTGGTCGTAAAAGGCAATCAGGTTGGTCTGGCAGGACCTGCCTTTGGTGAACCCATGCTGATTTTCCCTGAGCATGATCTCCCCTGCAGGCCCCCCACAGATGTGTTCCTTGATGATTCTCTCCAAGATCTTCCCGAGCACCGAGGTGAGGCTTACAGACCTATAATTACTTGGGTCCTCCTTTCTCCTCTTCTTAAAAATAGGGACCACATTAGCCAGTTTCCAATCCCCCGGCACCTGGCCAGATGACCACGAATGCTCATACAGCCGAGCCAAGGGCTCTGCGATGACCCCTGCCAGCTCCCTCAACACCCTTGGGTGGAGGGCATCTGGACCTGCAATTTTAAAAATGTCTAGCCTTTCCAGAAGATCCCTAACTACATCTGCACTGACTGAAGGCTTGATAGAGCTATCCCCAAAATTATCCCGACTTCCGGTAGGTGGGATATCCTGGTCCCTGGTCAGGAAAACAGGGCCAAAGAAACTGTTAAAAATATCAGCTTTCTTGTCTGGCATGGCCACCAGATCACCGTTTGTGTCTTGCAGGGGCCCTACATTACCTGGTGCCTTCTTCTTGTTCCCAATGTACTTGAAAAAGGACTTTTTGTTGTCCTTAATCCTGGACGCTAGCCTGAGTTCCACCTCTGCCTTGGCCTTCCTAATAGCCCTCAAAATAAGGTCCTTTTCCATTCTAAGCTTATTGCTCTTTTAGCAGCAAAGAAATTAATCTTTCACCAAAAAGTTTTACAGCATCTAGATTGCAATACTAGTTTGAACATAGAATTAATTCTGTTTATATTAAATACTTTTATTTATTCCACCCGTATATGGATTTACTCAGCATTTTGCAGGGACAGTGCAGTGCAGCAAGCAAGGCCATGAGGTGGGAAATTGCTGTTCTATAGATCCTCCCCCTTTGTGAAGATGCTTAAGGAGATTTGGAGTCTTCTCTAGTCTCTCACGGGGAAGACTTCATGACTTAGTTAAGGGCCTTCATCACCTTGTCAACTACCCAGTTCACCTAGCCACTACTCAGTTCATTAATTTCTGTTAAAAGCTGAGTGGAAGCTTTGCACCTTTGTGATTCAAATAATGGTTTTTCAAAAAAAAAAAAAAACGACTTAAATCTAAAATCTACAGTTAAAACTAATCTAGCCCATTTTTGCAACATAAGCCTTATTGCCAATTTGATTATTTTCTCTTTATTTTGAAAGTATTTACAAAACTTATTTTACTGGGTTCAGCTAGAATTGGCTCAGATGAAAACTTTTATTTTTCAGGCCCTGAAGGATTTATCAGCAAGGATGCTAATATTTAACCAACTCTTAGAAATTGTACATTAAATAACAGTTAGTACCAAATTAGAATTTCTGCATGATTTAAATCAAGGAATAATAGATTATAGAAGCAACACATCACTTTAACAAAGCACAATTAAGTAAGAAGCTCAAGCAGTGGTAAAATGACTCCAATAGAGTGTCAGGATGCATTTCAGATTCATAGATCTGATCTCAAAATAACACTTCTTTTTGTGTTGTTTTATTTCCATTGTTAAGGTGGTTGGCCTGTCATATTAGCCTGATAACATTTATTAACTATATATCAGGTACAATGAATAGGTGTCAGCACACACAATAATACAGTTTCATCTAGAGCTATAACATGTTATATCTATACTCATAAGATGTTGGGGGAAGGGTTATTATTATTATTTTTCAAGGACATTCAAGAGCAGTTCTAAACTTTTGGTGGTCTGAAATCCTACTTTTGCTTCACATAATACTGGCTATCTAATAATACTCTTGCATTTACAATTTTAGGTCTAGCTTGTATCTCATTTAACCTAGCTCCCAAGATTCACAAAATCTTTATTCTATCACCTTTTTTTTTCTCTTGAAACCTTGGGGAATAACTTTATCACAATACCCAAATAATACATGTTTTTCTCCAGTAGTAGAAGCAAGGTGAATGTATTGGTATGACATTTAAAACAAATTAGACACCCCCATTAGTAATCTAAACATCATATCATAATTATTAGGGTGGGAAACAAATACATTTTACCCTAATTTAATTATTTAGCTCTGGATTAAAATAAGGATTTGACACCATCACAATAATTCTGTAATCATTCTGTAATAAAATAACATTTTAATTTTCTGTTGGTATCTCGGTGATTCATCTTTATTGACTCTTGTCTGTCATATATGAAAAATATAATTAATAGAGTTTTATTCAGGATCTGTTAATTCCTAGCAATTGAATTATTTTATATTTAAGTTATTAAACAACAAGAAATATGCTGTATATAAAATCAAGTAAAACTTAAGTTGAATGTTATAGTATATGTGCTGGTATGAAACATTTTAACTTGAAAGATTAAATATAGTCAAAGTGCTGTAGCCAACAGTAAAACTTTGTTTTTATTACGCAGCACTGTATGCAGAAGTACAACATTTTGAGAAACAAAAGATATTCATCTTAGTTTCAACAGTAATGACATGGGCACGAAGCAAACCTCTAGACCCAGTAAGTGTTGACAAAAATACTCATTTTCACTGAATCTTTCCGGATAAACGCATCTGTTTAAACAGAGATATTTATTGTGCACCCTAATTATAGGAAATATCATCAATATCAACAAGACTGCTTACATGCTTGGATCCTGGACCTGTGTCATTGACTATTAAATTCTGGGTTTGCCATATATTGCATATATATGGTAAATTAATTTGTGTAAAGTTATACATTTATAAGATTGCAGGATTAGGAAAAGAGATAACCATGTGTAGTGGTTTATTAAAATCCCCATTTCTGATTTTTTTTCTGAAATTTATGCTAATATGAGAAATAAATTCCATGGTTTTGTTATGCTTGTTTTATTTACAAGATCTGTATATTTTTTTACATTTTAAAATGATTTATTGATTTTTTTTTCAGGAGATAATTTTTGAGTTACTCTATTGTTCATACTCTAAAAACAGAGGTTTTATAATATATAGCATTAAGGACATTTAAAATAATTTTACATGCTTCTTAAAATGTCTTGATATAGGTATTTTTAACTGATTTATTTTTAGTGAAAGTAAGATGTCTTTCTTGTTTTCCCTCTACAGGATGATCCAGAAATTCCTTTTACTGAAGAAGATTACCGCAGAAGAAAGACTCACCTGAACTTTATGGATCATATAAATGCTGAAAAAATGATTCTTAAACTTGGAAAAACTGTAAGTAACAGAAAAAAAACCACTTGCCTACAGTTTTTCTTTCTTTTTACTTAAATTGAGGAATTACAAATTTAAAATAATGAAAATTGCTTGTGGTATTTAATAGATTTTCAAACTTATATTAACCTGTTGTTATTTGTGAATAAGCCTCAATGGTGATAATGTGAAAAATATAAGCCTATTAAGAAGACAATAGGCTCTTTAGAAATATAAATGTATTTTATAGTATATGAGCCTCTGTTTCTGTTGAAACAATCTTATTTTTCTTAAGCACTAATTAAAACAACTGGAACTTTTGATAAATATATTTTTTTGACTTGTCACAACAGAGATGAAACCTAAGAGCTTCATGGGAGAGAAACAAGGGAGCTGAAGGATGGAGGAAGCAGGAGGAACAATTTAGATAGAGTAATTTTAGAAGAATAAAAGCACATAAATGTGTAACTAATAAAATGTTAATTATAGTACTAGGCTCATAACATTTCTAATTTATATACCTAGGTGTTCAGAAAGATCTGTTGTGATATGTATTATATAAATACCTTGATCATGCAGTAGATTGCTCGTAGTCAGGCTGCTGCGTCTGCATGGAGCCCTACTGGCTAGAGACAGATATTCAAAAAGCCTGAGCCTGAATTGATTCAATCTTTGCAGGTTAGTCTAACCTGGCTAGGCTAAATCACTTTGTAACTGCACAGACATCTGCTCTGGACTGAAAAAATTCAGGCTCATGCCTGCAGTGGCTCCAGCTAGAAGCCAGGGGGCACTAGAGCAGCCCTCCCTTCACTTCTATAGGGCTGAGCTGAGGGTGGGGGTGGTCAGGCCTGGCAGGATGCTGTGATTATTGCCCACCACCCTGAGCAGCCCAACGGAATTTGTATCACCCCTAAATCAGTATTTATCAACCCACTAAGAAAACAAAGCCTCTCTCCATTAACTAATGGAGCTCTTCTTAAACAGCTCTTCCAAGGAAGGACATTAAGTTACCTGTTGATTAGCTCCAAAAGCCTGTCTGCCTTTGTCATCTCCCGCAGCACAGACTAGCCAGCATGTGGTCTGCTGCCTAATGCTGAGGTGTCTGTGTAAGGCAGAGGCTAGGGGGGAATAATCCCTGCTTAGCAGGGAGAAGCTAGGTAGACACTCTGTGCCTACAAGTCTCTACCGGAGCTCTGGCCAGGGAGCAGAGGGGAGGGGCCAGCCCTGCTCTGGAGCAGAAAGCCCCGCCCAGCACAGAGAGCATGCCGGGATACTGGCAGAGTCTGGTTTAACTTAAACCAGCAAGGGGTCTGGGGCAGACATTGCATAAACCGGTTTAACCCAAATCAGTTAAGTCTGATACTATGTTCAACCGGGTTTATCTCAAGTTGGTTTCAGCCATTTTCAAACTGGTTTATGTGCAGTGAACATCTGTTCTGTTACAGGTTTAAATCAATTTCTGATCCCCTAAAGTGGTGTATGTGTAATGTCTGTCCCTAGCCAGTGACTTTAAGCACACTCATGGGACATGAGGACCATGGAGAAGGCTCTGTAAGGAAGTAGGATCCTGCAGAATGAGGTCTACAATTAACCCAAAACAACTAGGCCAAAATATTGTTTCACTTCAAAGCATGTGAGTGCTACTTGCACTTCTAAATGTAGCTACATAAGAGGCATTTTTCTTTTACTCAGGAAGGTTTTAGATCATATTTCCATCTGTGCAGCTAGACTTGTCCCTTGAGCACGCTAGTCAGGGATCTGCTATGGCCATGTGTGTTCCTTAGTCAGTCTAGTTTTAGAGACGATGGCATTTCAAAATACAGAATATATTTATTATTGAGTGAGTGTGGAATTCCGTTTGCCCATTCCATATAGAGGGATTGACACTAGAAATCATACTTAGTTTTTTTATGATGCATGACAGCACATAATATTAGCAATGGTATGACTGGGAAAGCAAATACTTTATAAAGTGACTTGGAAAGCCAAATGGTAAATTGCTTTTATTTGCCCTGTATAAACGTTATAAAATCTCCCCCAGACCCATGGTACTACTGATATGAAGGTTACACCTGTGTCCAAAGTATTTGATAACAGCCTTTAAAAGCTGTAGTTAGCTGTGTTAGTCTGAAGTGAGGCGGAAGGCAAGGTAGATTACACATTATTGACAAACTAAATCAGAGATGAATAAGCATTTGTAAGCAGCAGCTGACTTCATCTACGTTGCATAATGTTATCTTGAAAAGGTAATAGTATTGGACCACTTTTCTAAATTTGCTTGGTCATCTTATGATTTGAATTCCTACTTAAGTAAAAAAATAATTAGCATATGATTAGGTCTTAAATGTTTGCATGTGCAAGAGAAGCCCTGAAATAAGTTACAATGGCTAGAAGCTGACATCTGCTGGTTTTAATGAATACTGCACACTTGAAGAGTACTCTTTGTCAGTGACTAAGTATTAGCTAGTTATTAAAATTATTTACATTCTTAATACAATATATTTGATAGTCACAGCTCTGGACAATACAGTCTCATGCATGGGACTTTTCAAAAAGGCTCTTTAGCTCATACATTTATGGTAAGATGACATCTGTAACCTCCTCTAATTCTGTTTTTTCCTGATGATTATTAAAACCTGTTGCAGTCAGTTGATGTGAGACACATTTCTTTGTTGCTTATTATTTTGAAGTTTAACTATATAAGAATATAAAATACATATAAACCAAGTTTGATTTACATAGCATTGCCTCTATACAATCAAAGACTGACTGGTAGTATTCCAGGTGTGTTACTGAAATGCTTTAAAAATAATTTCAATAAAAGCATTATTCTTCAGGATAGAGAAAATAGACTTTCACAACTTTTTTTTGGTGAGTTATTTTATAAAGTATCATATAGATAGCATTATGGTTAAGATGCTTCCTAGCATGAAGATGGCTAAGTAAGTTTTTATTCGCACACCTTCAAGCTAACCAAATATGCACTTGAAAGTTTTTATTTTGAAGAGAAAAGTGTCATGGTCTCTGTTTTGAAACAGATTTTCAGTATGAGCATTTCTGGAAATGTATATAACAAGGGAACGCTTCGAAAGATTTTGATCTGCACGCAGTTTTGTCAGTGTATTTGTTTTAGTTAATCCATTTTTAGTACAATTATATTAGTACAACACCCAGTATGGGCACTATTATTTTGCTATGAAAGTGGTTTTTACTGCTATAGCTTATTTCTCTTTTCACATAGAAATAAGCTATACTGATATAGTCACATTGATAACAGTTCAAATGCACCGATGTTTCTAGGTTGAAGACAGAATGGGGCAGGTTGTCATATTACATTACCTTTATTGATATAAAGTTGAAATGCTTTAATTATATGTAATTCATTGTTTTTTTAATATACATCATTTCCAAGAGAATGTAGGATGGGGATGAAAGTATATAAGTGGTATGCTCCACTTTTACTTCTCATACCATTTTATACATACTTAGTTTTTACCAGAAGTAAATGCAAGTGTAAGACTGAAAAAAGAGGCCTAAGCTTTTATTTTTAGAATCATTCCTGAAACCAAGAAGTCAGCTTGATTTATCCCATTCACTTCTTTTACTGTACAAGTTATCTTCACTTTCCCCTTTAACACTTTCTAGAATTGCAGTTCAAATGTTGACAGATTGGTTCTGATAGCAGTGTCCTTTCAAAAAACTATATTAGCAACATGCTTGCTCCCTCCACAGCGATCAAGCTGGATTCTTACTTTAAGTTATATAAATTAAATATATATAATTCAAAGTAAAATTTAGGGCAAGACAACAAAATTTCATTTACAGAATTTTTCAAAATTATTTTTAATAACTTTCCTTTTGATTTTACTTCACAGCACAAACAAAAATTTTCAACTTATGTTGTTGCTTCAGGACTGCAGTATGGAGCTGAAGAAGGAATCTTGCATTACTTTTTTAAGGTAGGTTTTTTCATGACAATTTTGAGGAAGGTTAATTTACTATTGCACAGGTCCTTAAAGCAAACTTCAAAATTCCAACAGTTTTAAAGTGTAGGAACCAATCAACCAAAAAATGTTACCCACTTGAAAAAGGAAGAAACTTATTGCCATTTCCCTGAAGTGCAGTAAACTGTTTTGTCTGATCCCTCTTATCCTTCAATAAATAAAAGCTAAACCACAATCGTTTACCATGTCATTTTTCAGGAGTAAATTATTTCAGTTTAGTTTTCCTTACTGTGTGATTAGAGTGAGCAGCTGAAACATTAGTAATGGATCAGTCAATGCAGATCCACAAATGATAAGTCCTCTCCCCAGCCCTTTAAAGTAGTATAATTTTTTAAGTAGTTTCAGGGTGATGTTGTAACCTTGGTAGTTCAGGAAATAAGCAAGAGGCAAGGATTTTTATGGATTATATCTGTTATTGGATCAACTGCACAGTAGGGATGAACTTAGATAAACTTTTGAATGCAGTGCATTCTTTGTCTGTCCAAATCCTAACTAATATAAGCTGAATATCATTACAAAAAGGTCTAGGTCTGACCCAGTGCCTAGTGAAGTCTGTTCCCATAGTAAAGGGCAATATTATTAAATTTTTATCTGAAAACTTATTCAGCCTTTATCTAGTTTTGAATAATATCCTAGCATTAACTAAATTGATGGAAACCTACCAATCTGGGTGTCAGAGTTGCTTATATGCAGGATGGGGCCAGGAGAATCCTGTCCTTTTTTTCCCATATCATGTAGATTTTTTTTTAAAGGTTTCTTAGTCTCTTTTTGCAGTTATCATTTAGAGAATAGAAAATAATGGCAAAAAACTTGCTCAAACCTGAACAGTATTGTTAAATGTCATTTATTTCATGCTATGCTGGCAGCCGCCTCTTGCAAAAGTGATTGCTTTGATTATTAAAACAGAAAAATAGTCTTGCTTTTGCCAACAATATAAATGTTCCCTTTTGCAGCTCCTACTAAATATGACCCTTTCCTTCATTTATATTAATTTTCAGATAGCTTGGCTTTGTGAGAGTCCTGCAGTACCAGTTTTTGGAGCTGGGACCAATTTTCTTCCATTGATTCATGTTGTTGATTTAGCAGCGTGAGTATGCATTTTAGGTATGGTCTGGCCCAGGAACGCTTAGATATATGCCAAAATCAAATATGCCATTGAGGATTTCACTCAGCTGCTGACACAGGTTTTTTTTAAACTGTATTTTTTAACACGTACTTACTCCACAGATTAATTTGACACAACATTTTAAGTCCAATTTTTCTAGTATCTGATTGGCATTTGGGAAGTTATACCTGCTTGTCTCAATGAGATCATGCACATACAAATTCTTATAAGTACCGCATCTAGAACATAGTGTTAGCCAACCAACTCTAACTGTAGCACAGTTTCGAAGCAAGTTGAAAAGGGCATATATTAGCTTTTTGTATATCTTCTTGAGGCATTGCTCTGCATTGCTGGACTGTTGTGTGAAAAGTAGGATACCTGATGTTATGAATCAAAATCTATGCTTTGGAAAATTTTCCTTCATTTTCTACATACCTTTTGTCTTTAGGGTGCTGTTGTATCAGATTTCATGTTAAAGACTCAACATATTTTCTTCCACTAATGGTCATTGATTGTCCTTGCTGCAGGGTGATACAAAATGTAGCAGACCATAGGCCAAGGACTCACTATCTTGTTGCAGTGGATGAATCGATACATACTCTTCAAGATGTAATTAAGGTAAGAACTATTTTTTTTCCCCTAAGTCCTTAGGCCTTAGTTAGAAATTCCTGAATTTTCCCTAAATTATCTGACACAACAAATGAGATAAAAGTATTCTTGAAATCCTGTAGAGTTTGTGTCCTTTAAAAAATACAAAGAAAGTCCAGTCCTATAGTCTTTATTCAGATTTAGATTAAGAGGACCCTGAAAAACAGGTACAAATGAAACTTTGTGTTTTCATGCAGTTCACTGTACTGTAAAGAGTCGGTGTTTTTTTTTTATTTCTTTTTCCCTTGTGTTAGAATCATAAAAAATTAGGGTTGGAAGGGACCTCAGGAGCTCATCTAGTCCAACCCTCTTGCTCAAAGCAGGACCAGCCCCAACTAGATTATCCCAGCCAAGGCTTTGTCTAGCTGAGTCTTAAAAACCTCCAAGGATAGAGAGCCCACAACCTTTCTGCATAACCTTTTTCAGTGTTTTACTACCCTCCTAGTGAGAAAGTTTTTCCCAATATCTAACCTAAACTTCCCTTGCTGCAGCTTGAGACCTTTGCTCCTTGTTCTAAGAACAATCTAGCTCCATCCTTTTTGGAACCACCATTCAGGTAGTTGAAGGCTGCTATTAAATCCCCTCTTGGTCTTCTCTTCTCCAGAGTAAATAAGCCCAGTTCCCTCAGCCTCTCCTCAGAAGTCATGTGCCCCAGCCCCCTAACCATGGACTCTCTCCAATTTGTCCACATCCTTTCTGTAGTGGGGGACCCAAAACTGAACACAATACTTCAGATGTGACCTCACAATGCTGAATAGAGGGGAATAATCACTTCCCTTGATATGCTGGCAATGCTTCTACTAATGCAGCCCAATATGCCATTATCTTTCTTCACAACAAGGGCACATTGTTGGCTCCCATTTAGTTTGTTGTCCACTGTAACCCCCAGATCCTTTCCTGCAGAGCTGCTTCTTAGCCAGTCGGTCCCCAGCCTTTACCAACTGGTGCTGGGGATTGTTCCAGCCTAAGCGCAGGACTTTGCACTTCTCCTTATTGAACCTCATGAGATTTATTTTGGCCCAATCCTCCAATTTGTCTAGGTCACTCTGAATCCTAGCCCTACCCTCCAGCATGTCTGTTGCTCCTCCCAACTTGGTGTCATCTGCAAACTTGCTAAGGGTGCACTCTATCCCATCTTCCAGGTCATTGATGAAAGTATTAAACAAAACCATACAATTGTGTTGTATGAAGATATTGTATTCCTTTTTTTCCTTATGTACCTTGAAGCAGAGTAGTCAAGATGAAGCTGCAGTGAAGTCGTAATTTGATGATTTTTTTAAATCACTGAATTTATTATTTAAAGGTACTATAGAAATAACTTGTAACCTATTTGCCTGCGACACTCTCAGTAATGAAAAATTTTAGCCCAACAATTCTCCAGTTGTAACTCATAACCCTCAGAAACTTCACTGGTTGTCTACAGGATTAACTATTTTGGAAATCCTTTAGTGGAAGTGTTCAGTAGTGAAGATACTCCATAAAAGGAGTAATCTACGGAATTAAAAGCTTTGGCATACTCCATCTTTAGTACAAGTAATAAAAGTTGTTGGTATATAGCCCCAGAAGAGGTCCAAACAAATTCTCTAAGCTTTCATGTTCTTCAATTTGCTGTATGTTTCAGAAATATGGATTATTTTAATACTACAATGTTAAATGCAGATTTCTATACGTTATATAAATTGGATGTACAAGATTTTTTTCTTGATTTAATGTGTGTATGATATTGTTCTTTAACAGTGCATCAGCAAAAATGTTGGACCAGGAAAAATCCAAAAGATTCCAAAGGAAAATGCTTTCTTAAGCAAGGAGTTAACAGTTAGTATTTTTTTTTCCTTTTTCAAATAACCTCTTTAAAGCAGGCATGTGAAATGAAATACCATGCTCTTTTCTTATAGTTTCTTATAGTTTACACCAGCATAAGGATATCACATAGAAAACTGTTAAGAGGAGGGAATAAACTACATTTAGATGAATAAATAAAATGAAAGTGCTAAATTATACACCTAAGGTTTGAGAGCTGTGCAGAATTTTGGCTTCAGTGTTATCGTGTTACAGCCTGATCTTGAAGTCCGCCAGTGAGGTGCTGAAGTCAGTACTGAGTCAAGGATTCTGAGCATTCACAGGAAGACCATAAAATAGGGCCTCCACAGGATAAATCAGTTTTAAATAGTAATGTGCAAAAATTACTTTTCTAATTAAGCTCTAAACACAGAGGCTCTGAACCATTTTGTGTTTAGTGCAAATAGCTTGGAATAAACTATGCATATGAACAATGCATGGAGTAAAATAGAGAGCTTGGGTAAAATACTATGGCTTGTATTATAGTTATTTGAATAAAAGATAGAGTCAGGACTTTAAAAAATTGAAATAATGATTGCATGTTCATGGATTTTGGAAACAAATTGCATACAAATAAGTAGTTTTGTGGCTGGAAGAGGTGTATACAAAAGAAAAATCATATTAAAAATGATTATTCCTGTGTTACTAATGACATGCTAAATTATTAAAGCAAAAATGCATTTTAAAATGGAATTATATTGGTTAGGGCCAACATACTGGATTGCCCATTCTTATGGAAATATTTAAAGTTAAACCTGTTTTCATTTAAATTCTTAAAATTTTGAAAATTAATCCATGAATATGGTGTTTTGTAAAGCCAAACCTCACTCCCTGTGCATCTTTTTTTTTAAACAAAACACGACTTTTGAGATCAAAGCATGCTGTAAAGCAAGTTAACATTAAGTAGGGAACTCTCTGTAATAAAATATACCTTTTTTTTTTAGCAAATGCAGTTGGATATGTTGCTTGTGAACCTGCGAATGGAAGCGATAGTCTTGAAAGAGAACTTCAACATTAAGTGGGTTGCTCAGATGGGACTTGTGGAGAATATTGAGACTGTCCTCAAAGAATACAAGCAACATCGAGGATTACTGGTAATCAGTTCCTATATATTGATAATGTGCACTTCTGTTTCTTTAAAAGAGAAATATCTGTGTTTGTTTAACTAAAAATATTTGGAATACTGGTAAGATATACAAATGAAACTGACAAATACAATATACTGGACACTTAGGTTCAAACAAGGACTGAAGAACTAAAGAGAATACAAGATTTACGGTCATCTGACATGTTCTTTTTATGGTTCCTAGAGTTGAAACCCAGTAGGTAAAAGGACTTTCTTAATAGAAAAACTGTTTCATTCTATTTAACTTTTATGTGATGTACTATATTGCCAATTTATTTGGTTTTGGAATGCCACTAGATACATCTGTTACTCATGCTTTTTGATTTTAAGATCAGTGACTAGGAAAGTAGTTAATATTATTTGTATGCTATAGCTAAATACATTCATAGATGATAAATCTATTAATGGCTATTGAACAGAATGGTTGCAGATATTTCCTCTGGCATCTCTTAACCAATAATGGTGGGTGATAGTAGGGAGGGTATTGAATAAGGGGATGGATCACTCAAGAGATAGCCAGCTCAATGCTCTCCTTCTGTAGCATCCACTTCTATAACTGTTGGAGACAGGATACTGGGCTAGGTAGACCATTGGTCTGACCGAGTATGGCACTTCCTGTTTTCTTACATTCTTATAGCTATAGCCAATTCAGGAAATCAGTTACAATATATTTATCTCCTCATTTTGTTTCAGCTTGTAATATGGGTAAAATATTAATATTTAAACTTTTAATTAATAAATATTTAAATGTATTTCATTGAATGTGAGATTTTACTACACGATGTAGAAAAATTCTACTTTCTAGGTAATTAATATAATTTAATATTTTGTCTGTAAGCATGTGAAGTTGTCCATCTGTGTCTGTTGTGGACACAATATAAATATGTAAGGAGCAAATCTTGTTCAAACCTCCATCGGTTTAGAAGATCCAGAACAAAAGGAAACTAGTATGATGCACTGAAAATCCCTATGTCCCAGCCCAGAAAGTGTTTGCTGGACTGAAATGTTAGATTTGTGATTACATGGATACATGAGTAAAAAAAATAGAACACTGAATTAAAACATCAAATATACTGATGTGGATATACAATTTGGTCACTTGCAAGGGAAAAGTATTGAGAGTTATATTACTAGTGTTTCACTGCCTAACCAACCAAATAACTATACATTGTTCAGGAAAAGAGTATTTTAGAGAGATTTATATTTGTACATATTTTAGCCAGACTCCTTCAGGATCTGTTAGTACAGGTCAGAATTTTACTGATGTTAGTTTTATTATGCAAAGTCACAATGGTCTGTGCTAAAAGAGTCTGATGCAGGATGGTGAGATTAGGAGATACTGCTAAGAGTTGCACTGTAGCTTTATATTTTTAGCAAGTACTTACATATAGCCCTTTATCTTGGTGTTTACATCTGGCCCAGATGGGTGGGCAATATATTTGAGATCTCGAAGGAAGAAGCAAGGAGGCATCTCTCTTAACTCTGATTTTATTGACTTGCAGCAGGGTCACTCCATGACTACTATACTTGCTTCAGAGCTAGAATAGTCACTGTTTCTGTCTCCTTCTGTGTTGGGATGTGAAAGAGACCAGTGGATTTTCAAAGTAGTGTATCTGCTGTACTCATTATCCTGGAAATCATTATCTCAAATCCTCACCTTAGGCTCCTGGCCCCCAGTGCACCAGGGTTTTTCAAACTTGTGGACAGAGCCAAGGGCCTACCTCACATGGCCTAATCTGTTATAAAATGATTGTGGGTTCTAAGTTGGAAACAAGAGGAGACATCCAAGAAGAGAATTTCTATGTTGAGGATATGAACAAATGTGCATTTTAGCCATTTTATAGTGGGAATTAGTACACACCACCTGTTATTCTGTAACTACTTACCTACCTGAACCTGTAGTAATATATTTTACCTAAATTGCCCCTACCTTGATTCTGAATAAGCAGGAGTAAAATCGGAGTGATTTTGCTACATTTACATCACTATATTATTATGCAGATGTGAGATTTATATTGTAACAGTTTGTATTGGTATTGATATTGATACAATTTTTTCATCTATCTAGACTCTGAGTGCATTAATAAAAAAAATGTCCAATTTTACTACCATTTACTTAATCACTTATTTTTGCTATTTGTTTTAGAGAGAAAAATAGTTTAAAATAAGAATACTTTCACATTTTGCCTGAATACTTTTGCCTTTGTTTCTTTTCTAGCCAGTCAAAATTTGTATCCTTGGTCCTCCTGCAGTTGGAAAATCTACTATTGCAGAAGAACTCTGCAAGCATTATAAGTTACATCATGTTAAAATAAAGGATGTCATTTCTGAAGCAATAGGAAAACTGGTAAGTTGGTACTTGCTTTTCGGGATAATGATTTCTTCAGTCTTCTGGGTTTAAAAATGTAAAATATATGAAATAAAATATTTAAGAATTCTTACAGCCCTGTGATTTATCATTCAAAGAGTGACCACATGATAGTCACCTTCTAGCATAATGTACTGAAGAGTAAGAATATCCTTGTTGCATTAAAGGTGTCTAACTAGCTTTTGACACTATTCCCTTCTTTCTACAGTTGTCTGTATCTGTCAAGTCAAATATATTTATAAACTCTGACTCTTAAGTGCATTTTGTCACATGCTGAACTCCTCTGGGTAGGTCCAGAGCTCTCCTCATAATTATTTTTCATCTTAAGTGAAGATTGATCAGCATCTCACAATATAGAGCCCTAGATGAAGCATGTATATGAAAATAAGTCGTAGAGTGAGCGAACTGTTGTCCTTTGCTGTATCTTTGTAATATAAACATCAGAATTTGGCCAAAATATTTTGGGGGGGGTGTGTGTGCAGGAAAAAATTACTGCTTCTAAGGAAGTAACAGAAGCTGAAGAGATGGGAGAGGAAGGAGAAGAAGAAGAAGATGATGATGATGGTGAAGAAGGAGAGAATGTAGAAGAAGCTCAAGAACTTCTAGATGCAATCAAAGAAAACATGGAGCAGAATGGAGGTAAGGCACACAGGTGCAGACAGAAGTGCAGTTCCCTGATGTAACTGAGAATGCTCTGCAGGAAGTGTTCTGAGTTACAAGGATCCCCTGAAACAAGCAGAAGTTCACTGTGGATGCTTGTAGATGTTAAAAAAAATCCAAAAAATGCACTTTACTGGAAGAAGCAGCATATTACTTTGACCTGGTTCTGTAGCATCTGTATAGATCAAGAATTTCAGTGGGGCTTTTTGGGGCTTTTAGCTAAAGCTGATTTAACCAGCTATTAGATAAAAGTGCCAAAAAAGCCCCACCAAAGTGCCTGATCTATACAGACTTCAGGTGAGCCAGGTCTAACTAATGCACTTCCTGGGCATGCACTGGGCTCGGTGCAAGAGTGTGCTGAGTTTAAAGTAAAGCATCTTTTTATTTTTTAAACACTTGCAAGCAGCCTGTTGGTTCCAGGGGGAGGGGAATCTAGCTGCTGGCTCTAGCCTGCAGCCAGTTTCTCCTAGCAGGGCCCCTCCTCCCTGTGAGGCTTCAACGTTTTCAGAATGGGAGGGGGAAAAGGGAGCAGAGGAAGCTCACTATAGGGGCTCCCCAGCTGGCACTTGAGAGTGGGATGAATGAATTGGAGCTTCTCCCACCTCAGGGTGGGGGGCATCAATATACCTGCCTCACCCTCTAATGGGGGCTGAAAAACCCCTAGACTAAACCACCTCCTCTCCTTTTCCCCCCTCCCATTCTAAAAACAGTAACAGGCTGGCTGGCAGGCAAACAGAAGTTGTGAAACATCTTCATCTGACCCCTCATGCAATGAGGGTTCAGATTTTCACCCAATTGGCCGTTTTTAAACTGTCTGCAGCCATGCAGTTGTGTTTGGTCTTAGCTATAGACCATTTTCTGTGGCCAGATATGGTGAGCATTGTCACTTCTGTCTGCGCCCAAGTACTGAAAAGCATAATCTGGCTTTTAATTAACAAATGTAATTTCTGTATCAATGAAGGAATAGAGTATTAGTTTGTCTGCTCCATTTGAATTTATAAAGCCCATTGAAGGCAAGGGACATACACTCTGAATTTTTATAAAACTCAAGAACCAAGTCAAATGTGTCCAATATTGTTTTCACTTCCCTTTGTGTAATCCCTGAAAGGACCAGGGTTATACAAGAGCAACAAAAGACAATCAACAATTGTATGTTTTTTTAGATATTGAAAAAACTTCTTTAATGGTAGCATTTATATATTTTTACATACCATCTTTACCTGATTTCAAGACAAGATTTTTTTCCCATTTAACTATTAGGGGAAAAAAGCCCCTCATCTTGGAATTGAATAGGAGAAGAGGGCTGACAGCTGCTGTGGCTCCAGCTTTGGCTTCAACCCTGCAGCTACTGCCTGCCCCCTGCCACATCTGAACCACTGTCTCTCCCTCTGCCCAAAACCTCATGTCCCTGAACCCTTTTCCTTGTTTGCCCTCCACCCCTCACCCATCACACCCTGCTTACTTTTGCTCCATGCTTCCAGGCTCCATCCCTACTGCAGCCTGTGGCATGGAGCATCGTCCCAGCCTGGTCCCCTAGCAGCCCTGTTGCAGCCCTGGTCCCCTCCATCCCTACTGCAGCCCTGGGGCAGAGGCTCATTGGTGGGGGAGACAGAGTGTGAGGTGGGGAAGCAACATAAAGGGGATACAGGGAAAGGAGGTAGGGAGGAGATGGGAGGACAGGGGCTCAAGGGTGTGGGGGGAGCAGACACAAGGTGGGGTAAGTGCTGAGGGGGGCAGGTGAGAGGGGAAAACTGCCTCACCCCCACCACCTGCCTTCACCACTGCCTCCACACTACATGTCCCCTATCACCTGCCACCCTACTGCCTCTCTCTCTGCCTGCCCTTCCTACCACTGCTTTCCTCACTACAGTGGTGGTGGGGATGAATTTAAGATAACCCTCCAATACTTAGATTCTATACATAGAACATTATAACAAATTTGTACATTTTCCATGTATAAAATCTAATTGTTGGTGGGGGTGTCATCATAAACTCAGGCCATGGTGACCCCACAGCTCAGCACTGCTCAGTATATGTGTGTACTCCAGATACCCCCCCACAAAGGATCCAGGTGCTAACTAGCCCCCCGCTCATGACTGAAACTGGATGTTCTTGTCACAAGTCCTGGGATCCTCCAGAAATGCAGATAAAGCACAGGGCAACCTGGTTTAGGTTTACCTCCTGGAGGGTGGGACCACACTAATCATATGCAATGGGCTGAGAGATGAGGGGCAACATAGGGATTCTGGGTGAATTCTTTGGGGCCCTATTTGGTGATGTTTGCTAGACATTTAAGGCTGGTGAAGAAACAGGAATCCTTGGAAACGGGAAAGAAAGGTGCAGCTTAGCTGTGGGAGTGAAGAAGAAATTGAAATGTATGCTGCGTAGTGGCTCACTATGAATTGAAAAAGAGTCGGTGCTGAGGGAGACTGCAGTCAATGGCCACTACCATATAGTTTATTTAGATGGTTTATACTAATCTATTCTTGTGGTAGAGTCTTGTTAGCATGTTTGTCCAATATGGTCAGTGTATTTTATAGTCATGCTCAGCATTAGCTGCATTTAAATCAGCTTCATAGTTAGGTTCCAGTACTGAGCATATGATGCTTTTGGCAGCAGTTTAATGATAGTATATTGATGTATTTAATGTGGTTTCCATGTATGCAAATGTAAGACAAGGGCCTTTTTCCCCATGCTGATTGGAAGAAAAAAATTCTGTCTTGTAGCCAAATTTTTCTCATTAATTATATGCTGCTTATCACTTCAAAAGTGGGAACATGTTTAATGTAATTTAAAATTTTGGTACAGATGAAATGGCAGCCAGTTCTGTCTGTCACTGTCTTTCTTATTAGGCTTCTTTTCTTATTTGTGTCTATATCACTATAGAACCTTGGACTAGTGGATTTCTTTGTGCTTCATTTTCCCCATGTGTAAAGGGTAAATTGTGTTTACCATGTTTAAAGTCCATGGATGGAGAAAGTGCCATATAACTCCAAACGCATTAGTCATCATTCATTGGTGTTTAAAGCCATGTGTGCTTTTGTCCTTGTGCTTCTAAACAAAATTAGTCTCTGGTGCCATTGCAAGGGGTTTGGCTTCTTTGCCCACACTCTGCACTTCAGTGAGAGAGGTTGCGAACTGTTGGAAAGGGATGGCCTTCACCTCACCTAGAAAGGGAAGAAGCTCTTCTCAGCCAGAATGGCTGACCTACTTGACAGGGCTTTAAACTAAGATCGGGGGAGAACGGGCAGTCTATCAACAGTTCTAGCCCAGGTCATGCCAATCACAGCAGTAACAGCTTAGGTAGGCCAAGGGAACCCACTCTGACGAGAGCCCAAGGAAAGGTTACGTCCCATCACATAAGGAAGCCTAGGGCTTCCCGTGGCAGACTGAACTGCCTGTACACAAATGCCAGGAGCTTGGGTAACAAGCAAGAGGAGCTGGCTCTTCTGACTGATAATGATTACGACCTCGTAGGGATAAGGGAGACCTGGTGGGACTCCTCCTACGACTGGTTGGTAGGTATAGAAGGCTATATCCTCAACAGGAGAGATTGTGTTGGGAAGAGGGGCGGGGGTGTAGCTCTCTATGTCAAGGAGCAGTACACTGAACTGAATTAATTAACTGTGGCAGTGAAGATCACGTTGCTGGAACAGAAGAAAGTAAGAAGTGCCGGGGTGGATGCCCCGAGCACAAATACTTACCAAAGAACGGGACAAGAGTCGGGGAGCAAGAGGCACAGAGGGCAGGAAAGCTCTGATTTATCAGCTCTCATCAGTTCTGGTTGGCTGGATGTGGGACAAGGAACAATCATCAAAAACCACGCCCTGCAGCAACCGAGAGAGAGGGAAGAAAGTGAAAGTGAGTTTGAGAGAGAACAGCAGATGTGGAGAGAGGTCATTGAAGAGAAATTTTATTAGTAGATGTTTAGGATTGTGAATCGAAAAAGATGACAAAGCCAGTAGGGAAATACAAATCGCCTGAGTGAGGGACTAACATTAGAGGGATGGGGGTGAGGAGGGGAATGCAACTAGGTTACAAAAAATACAATGTTAGCCAACTAAGCCCAGGGGTGGAGGGAGGAGAGGGACGGTGTTTGCAGCGCTGAGAGAGAAAGAAGATAGATACACCCAAACCCGTACAATGGTCAGCAATGGTGGAATAAGTAGGTCAAAGAAAGTGTCTCAGTCCATATACAGTCTCATTGCGGGGGTCCTCTTCGGATGGAGTGGGATTGTCCGCTCCTGAAGAATCCTCTCGAAGTGAAGTCCATCTGGTGCAGAGCGGGGGTTCACTATACTAAAGAAGAGAACAGCAAAGACCACCCCAACAGGGGTAAAGGAACAAAAGCAAGGAGCTTTCTCCCTTTGAGACTTGGAGTCTCCACGCTTACCTGAAAGTGAGCAGTCAAGGAGAGACGATCGACGGGACCCAGGGATGGACTACCCACACCACGACCAACCTGTGGTGGAAAAGACAGCCAAACTTTGAATGCAGACCAGGGAGTTTATGCAATTGGACCCTCTGGACCCTGCAGCCCTCAGTGGCACTTAAATGTTTAGTGAAAAGGGTCTCACTGATACCCAGCCTGTAAATAACAGATTATCAAACGTATTTTACAAGGATAGCAGCTGTGTGGAGTGGCTAGCCTCCCTCCTTCCTTATTCTTAAGTACATCAAGTCATGGCAGGAAAGATTGAGCAGACAAGCTAGACACAAAAACTCTCCCATAAATCTGGGCAGGAACACCCTTAATACGCCCGCTCCAGGGAGCCCCGATCCTCTCATCACATGAATAGAGAGACACGTAGAGTAGGGACGCTCCCACATTAATCATGGAGGGTGTCTTGAAACCCTCTGGGTTAAAATATGGGGGGGAACATGGGGAAGGGGATATACTTGTAGGAGTCTATTACAGACCTCCTAACCAAGAAGAAGACCTGGATCTCAAATTCAATAGGGAACTGGCCAAAGTTGTA